GTTATCTAGCATATATTATATATGTATTACATAGATTTTAGCACTTATGTTCATCAGACCACATACTCACTACATCTAAAATAGACTCTACAGCATATCTGAATGAGACAGGGAGCTTCTCACCTTGACATACTGCTCGACCTCAGTCACAATGCCCATGACCGCAGAGTAGGACTCTTCCAGGGCAACAGGGCCATCAGGCATCCGAGTTAAAGCATTCCGGTAGAATTTCTCTTCCTCAGTCAGTTCGTAATGTACACCCACCTAAGGAAGCAGAGCCGAAAGGAACACAAATAGTGTGTATAAAAACGTTCACCTCTTGGGGTGCCTGGGTGGCTCAGATGGTTAAGCGTCTGCCTTCGGCTCCGGGCATGATCTCCAGGTCCTGGGCTCGAGCCCCATGTCAGGCTCCCAGCTCAGCAGAGCGTTTGCTTCTCCCTCTCCCTCTGCCTCTCCCCCTGCTTGTACTCTCTCTCTCTCTCAAATGAATAAATAAAATGTTAAAAAAAAAAAAAGTTCATCTCAGAGCCACCTTTCACTGAATTCATATGAACTGAAGGAAAAACTCGCTATAAAAATGGCATTTAAGGAAGAACATCCACTTACCCCAGCCACAAAAAAATCAGAGGCCTACTCATACTTCACTCTTCAACCAATAAAGGGAACATCAGATCACCCACAAGCTAGAAAATGCAGCATCACATTGTAAAACAGTTACGGAGCCCCCGAGCCCTTGGAGCAGAGCCCCTGGAGACCTGAGCCTCTCCCGTGGGAATGGAACACCAAAGGCGGCGTCTAAAGCACTAAGACTACCGTGACGACATAATTACACCAGCCTGGAAGATAGAAGTGGTGACCAGTCATTGTTTCAATGATCTGAGTGCCAGCTATGTCCGAGGCACTGTTGTAGGCACAAGAAACAGCCAGACAAAAATCTCCGCTCACATGGACTCACATCCTGTGGGAGGAGAGACAGGGAAAAGCAAACTATACAGAATGTCAGTGGGTGAGAAGTACTATGGAGACAAAACAGGAAAGTGGAAGGCTAGGGGGTGGGGGAGGTCAGGGAAGGCCCACTGAGCAGGATCAGGAGAGGGAGGGAGTGAGCCATGTCAGTATGTTGCTACCACAGGTTCCAAGCAGAGAGGTCAGCAAGTGCAAAGGCCCAGGGGCAAGAGCCTGCCTGCCTGCCATGTCTGAGGAGAGCGAGAGGCCAGGATGGCCAGAGCAGAGTGAGTGGGATGCAGGCACTCAAGTCAGAGAGGCCACGAACAGCATATTATGTGGGGCCCAGCACTCTGCCTTGGGACGTGGGCTTTCATGGGGAGTGGCACGGGAAGCCATCAGTGGGCTCCGGGAAGAGCAGGGTCAGGACCGACATGAAATCTAAATCTTACTCTGCTGCTGTGTTGAATATAGATTTTAAAGGGCGCCTGGGTGGCTCAGATGGTTGGGTATCTGCCTTCAGCTCGGGTCATGATCTCCAGGTCCTGGGATCAAGCCCCGCATCAGGCTCTTGGCTGGCTCAGTGGGGAGCCTACTTCTCCCTCTCCCTCTGCCTCTCCCCCTGTTTGTGCTCTTTCTCTCTCAAATGAATAAATGAAATCTTTAAAAAAAAAAAAAAAAGATTTTAAGGGGGCAAAAGCAGACACAAAGACCTGTCAGGAGGAACTTAAGAATCCAGTGAGGGATGATGGTACCTTGGACCGGTGGTATCAGTGGATGTGGGCAAGAAAGATCAAGGTTAATTTTGAAGACAGAGACAGTGGGAGGCCAGGATGACAGCTCAACTTAGTCCTGAGCAGGTTGAAGGTGGGGAAAGGAAAGATTGGGGATGGGAGCAAGTCTGAGGGAGGGGGTCGGAGGCGCATTCAGTGTGATGGGCAAATCAGTCTGGTGGAGATGCCCAGGAGCCAGCAGGAGAGATGGGTCTGGAGGTCAAGATAAAGGCTGTGCTGAGATACGAGCACAGAGTTGTCACGTACGGCCGGCATTTAGTGAATGGACTGGGTGGGACAGAGCTCTGGGGCAGAGAGCACATGGAGACAGGTAGAGGCTGGAAGAAGGAGAGCCAAAGAGGAGCCGGCAGAGGAGACTGGCCAGTGAGGTGGGAGGAAAACCAGGATAGCCAAGTGGAACAAGTGTAACCAGCAGGAGGGGGTGTGCACCCGTCCCATCCTGCCACTGCCACTTCTCAAGGGCTGAGAAGCCTGCCACAGCGACAGGGAAAGGCCGGTGACCCCGACGCCTGAGGGGACCTGGAGCAGGTGTGCAGACATCCTCCGTGTTTTTACCAAAGGGAGCCAAGAAGTAAGATGGCTAGAGGGTGACAGGGGTCAGGTTTATTCGCTGACAGGAGCCTCAGAGCAAGGGCATGGGACCCAGCATAAGAGGGGCTGATTTCAGTTCCGTCAGATATGGAGACAAACAGGACAGCAATGCAAACAGAAACATGGCTGGTTAAAAACAGAACGTGACAAGAAATACCCTGTAGTCTGCATAGACTCTGCCCAGAGCGGAAGGAACCAGTATTCACAGCTCGGTTCTGAGAAATAAAAATTTAAATTGGCTACATGATAATAAACAAGGCAGGCTGGTGTGAGCTCATGGGATTCCCTCCAGTTTCATGTATATTTGTAAACTAATATAATAAAGTGGGGGCGGGGAGGAACAGGAATTAAAATTCCCAGCGAAGTTCATGGAGGCAATTTCTAAGAGACTACTGAGATCAGAACTGCAAGAGGCAACTATTTGGAAAGATAGCCATAGGAAAACCGTCAGGTCACACTAGGCTTCTTCTAGTTTTCCCTTAGAATGCTGGGCCATGGGGCTCCTGGGTGGCTCAGTTGGTTAAGCGCCTGCCTTCAGCTCAGGTCATGATCCCAGGGTCCTGGGATCAAGTCCCGTAGCGGGCTCCCTGCTCAGCGAGGAGTCTGCCTCTCCCTCTGCCTGCCACTTCCCCCTGCTCGTGATCGCTCCCTCTCTTTCTGACCAATAAATGAAATTAAAAAAAGAATGCTGAGCCGCAAGTCTGCAGTCTGAGAAGACATACAAGAGCAGCATTTAAAGAAGCGTGATGGAGAGGTGGTGCCACAGAGCCCCGGGAGGCCTGGTCCGAGGGCCCATGGTGCAAATGCCTGGAAGGCTCACCTGGTACCTCTGACTCTGGATCCTAGGAAGAGACAGCACAACCATCTTCCAGGCAAACATTTCCTGATAGAGCTTGTACCTGCACTCTTCGATGGGTGGATTCAAATAGATGACCTGATTGGTTATTCTTAGCTCATGAACAATATTCTGTAAAAGAAAGATTTCCTTTCTTACTCAGCAATCAGTTTCAATAAAATCGCTTTTATGCATTTATGATGTCAGAATCAGTATTCATGAGAAGCGTGATCATTTCTTGGTTAAAAATCTAACACCTAAGTGTGATTCTAACGTACTAATAAGTTGGTGAATGCCTACAGGAGCCATTTACAATTGGTACCGACCATAGGTGTATGTGACGTGTATTGCTCAGTAATCATCTCGAATAAAATCAGGTGCTATGAATGCTGAAATTTGGAAGTGGGTAAAAAGTATACAAATTATACCTTTTTTTTTTTTTTTCTGGTAGTATGAAGCATTAGAATCATTTCAGAGAAATGTCCTTTATATAAAAGCTTTTTCCAAAGTAAAAAAAAAATGGTTTTGATGCATAACACTTTCTTCCTCTAAATTTTATTAACCTACTTGAGTCTGAACCATGAGTCTGTTACTTCATTAGAGAACGTGCTCTTCTTTATTTCATGCGTTTGGCCTGCCCTCTCTAAAGGATTGTAAGAAGTCAGAGGGCAGGCACTGCTTAGGTTCCTGCTGGGTCCCCCGTGCCTCGGTGAACACACAACAGGTGCTCAATGGAGCACCATCTGATTTAATGTGCATGGTGACCTCTGGACACAATGACCTCGGGACCCGAGAACCCTGTGCTACTGATGCAGGGACCGAGGCTGGCGTTAGCCATCAGACATGCCACACGGAGGCAGGTTTACAAGTCAAGGTGAGGTTCTGCCACCTGTCAGTGCCTGCTTTAAGCTAAGCAAGAATTCTGACTCCATCTCCACCAGATAACTGCTTTAGCTTAGACATACTCATTTGCTTTTCTGCATCTCTGTATTTTAAAAAGTATGCTCTAGGGATAAATACATGTAATATTCAAAAGTGAAAACATTTTTCAAGCATTGAAAGAAAAAAAATGAGAAGGTAACACTTGGGGAGATAAAAAACAGCCAACTGTTTCTCCCACATAAAAGTTTTTACCTTTTGTTCTTTTAGGCTTCTGTTTTGTAAGACATTTTTGTTGGTAAATTTAACACGAACTATGTAACGCAAATGCATGGCTTACTGAACTACTATGTGGCAGACACCTTTGTGACCAACGCCCACACCAGTAGACACGACCTATTTGCACAGCCTGAACTAACACAATTTTCTAGAAGGCTTGCTGGGCTCTAGCTGGCCACTCCTTCACTCAAATGGGAAATTGGTGGCTTAGAAAGAAAGACTGCTGTCCAGTGTGGTGACCACTGTGCTAATCGTTCTTCCACGAGACTCTGAGATTTTGTGAAAACAGTGACATTTTAGTGTCAAACTTTTCCTTGTACAGATTACATTCAGTTCTTGAAATGATTTCTTGCACGTATGCTTAGAAGGCAGAGTATTTTTTTCCAGTGTAGATTTTTTCTAAAATTTCCCGCTTTTAAAAAAAGTCCTGTTTTTGAAATTATTTTAGACTTACAGGAGAGTTGCAAAGGAAGTATGAAGAGTTTTCACATACCCTTCACCAGCTCCCTCTAATGTTGCCATCGTTATAACATGGTACAATTACCAAAATGAAGAAATCAACATTGATGCAACACTACTAACTAAAATACTGACTTCAGTCGGATTTCCCAGGCCCCCACAGCACACACAGTCGTCACATCTCCTAATCCCTTCCAACCTGGACATTTTCTCAGTTTTTCCTTGTCTTTCATGACTTTGACACTCCGGAAGAGTACCGGTAGGGCGTTCTGTGGGGAATGTCTGATCTTTTCTCATGGTCAGAAAGAGTCTGGGAGATGTGGGGACAAAGACCGGGGGGGAAGCGGCCCTGTCACCACATCGCACACATTGCCAGGGTAAAACAATGCGCACAAGACAGCACTGGTGGATGCTGACTTTGGTCACCTGGGTGAGGTGCTGTCTGTCAGGTTTCTTCACTGTTCAGCGGCTTTCTCATTGGTACTTTTCAAGGGGAAGAATCCTTGGTTTGATTTACTAGCAAACTGGATGCCATAGGAAATACTCACTTTAATCTTTGGCTCTCCACCAGGCTTGTGACTAACTTGAGGTGCGTCTGTATCCATGTCAACTTCTGCTTTATCTTCTGCTTGTCCAAGAAGCACCTGGGTCCAAGCTCTCAGGCCAGCTTGTAGGCGAACGCCCAATATTCTTTCAATCTACAGAGAAGTAGGATCAAAGAACAGTGTTCCTTCCAAAAGTTAGCTTATTAACAAGCGCGTCAGATAGGAAGTAAATGCTTCAGGTCAAGGATGACAGCTGCTACCACACCCTTCATCTTACCCTGGTTCCCTACCTCACTCCGTCCCTCTCCCAGCCTCAGAGAACCTGACCTCCATCTGGGGGCTAACCTAATCACCAACCCTCCGACTTGTAAGGGACAAGGAGACGGACCCAGATACAGTCACGGTCTCCTGTTTGGCCAACATACTAGAAAATTTACAAAACAAAAGCATTTTCCTGGCAGCCTCAGAGATAAAACTAACAATCTACAACTTGGGGAATAAACCATCAGCTTTTTGGTAAAACTGAGATATAAGAGACATACAACATATTAGCTTGAGGTATACGACACAATGATTCTGTATTTGTAAGTACTACAGAACAATCACCAGGTAAGACTAGTTAAGACCTGTCAGCACACACAGGTGCCCATTTTAACAAGAAAGTCTTCTCTCTGATATGGAATGAGACAAGTGAATGTCCCATGAATAGGACATCTGTATGTCTTCATGCAGTCTGTCCATCCTGGGAATGCTGTAAAGGCAGCTGTGGCAAACCCCGAGACTTCCAGTAGATTCGGAAGAGTGGGGTTTGTGAACTTTCCCTGGTAGCGTCCCATGTGTGGATACACTGCACCTTTGCGGGTCACAGGCTTTTTCTTTCTTTCTCCCTAAATGGGTAACTAAGGTGCTTCAGAGCTCCCCACTGAGCCACTCTGCCATGAAATATCCTACTTCCTGGGGCTCTCCACGGATGCTGACATCCACCACCGAGAAAGCCACGTGGGTGGTAAGTATGTTTTAAACACAAGCACAGATGCACACACATACTTCCCCTCCCCGCACACCTCTACAGGGGTGAGCCCCGATCCTCTACACCAGGAGCAAGACGTATTTGGTTGCTAGGCATTTCTTTTTTTTTAATTATTATTATTATTATTTTTAAGGAAGCTCTTGGCCCAGCATGGGGCATGAACTCACAACCCGGAGGTCAGGAGTCCTGTGCTCTACTGACTGAGCCAGGCAGGTGCCCCTGAGCACTTCTTTTTCAACTGGGTGGTGGAGAGGGGGCAGCGTGTCAGAGAAGGATGCCAGGGACAACCTCCTACGTTACTGGGTGAGCAGCGAGGGCAGGCAGGAGGTTGTTGGATATTCCAAAAATAAAGAGAATCCCCCCGCCGCACCACCTGCAACTCGGAACGGACAGGAGTGTTGCTAGTACCACACAGCTCAGCCCCACCGTTAGCTCAATGGGATTTCTCGAGAGGAGACTGGACTATTGCTGATAACTTCTGTGGGAAAATGCTTTCCAGTGACAAACTAATAAGCTTATAAAATAGGGTCAATAGTAGAAAACTGAAAAGCACCGTAACCACCCATCCCTCACCTCCATGTCAAGCTTGTTGACCCAGATGGGCAAGTTGGAGTAGGAGTGCAGATTCAAGTCATCCACGGCCTTCTGGACTCTGTTCAAGATCTCGGAGAAGGTCTTGTGGTCATACATGCAAGTCTCCAGGGAACGGACCTCCAGGTCTATTTTTTCTTCAATGATTAGCAGGTCATCCACCTAAAGGAAAGCGTATTTAATATTTAAAACACCATTCATGGTATCCTTTATTTTTATGTATATTCTTCTCGATTAACATATGTTTAAGGGAAAGGAGTCCTTCCACGAGTAGCCAGTGAACACTTAGCCCCACTCCTGTGTTCTCACAGAGGGAAGGGAAACCTCTGACTGAGAAGTCTGGGAGCAGGAAACGGATGTGCCCCGCTCAGTGCCTTCTCTGTCCCTGAGCGCCAGACGCACACCCTCACTCGGACCTGCTCCCAGCAGCAGGCTCGGGGCCAGGAGGCTTACCACCGTCCAGCTGCGCTAGGGTCTGGGGGAGGGCCAGCAGCAAGGGCCACGGCTGCAGATCTAGAGCCCTGTTGTCCGTGCAGCTCTATCAGTAATAAAGCTCTCATCTCACTCGGTCAGACTCCTGTGTCCTTCACCTCTCCATTAAACTCAGGCTGTTACTTAACGGTCTTCCCAGAGCCCCACCACCATCCAACAGCCCAGTAAGTAAAAGGGCTTCTCCCCTTCAGCTCACACGGCCCAATGCTCTACCCGTCAGGAACTCCTATGGGAGAACTACTGTGTTAACTGAGTGAGCTATTGCCGTGTTTAGTTCATTCCCGCAACCCTGAGGGGATGGGAGTGGGGGTAGTAAATTACAACACACCTTTTCTTGGAAGTTGAAGACGGTCTCCGCCAAGCGCTGCACATACGGGTCGAGTTTGTAGGATTCCCATACCAGTGCAATGCCCTCTGCGATCAGAGCCTGCACTTCCTTTTTCAAGCCGGCCACCAAGAGGGAAATGGTGTTCCGCTCCTCCACCTTCTCACAGGTCCGCTCGTAGGTGCGCACGCTCTCGATCAGCGAGATGGCAAACGGGTACAGCTGGTTTGCTTGGTGAGCCTTGTTCACGATCGCCAGTGGGACTCGGAAACCAAGCCACTTGAGGTTTCGAACTTCTTTGGAAAGTGTGATGATCTCTGGAAGGAAGTTAACTTTCAGCTTCAGGACGTTTCCGGTTCGGCCCCGGACGCGAGTGCTCTCGATGGTGAAGATGCGCCCCGAGACGCCGAGGTTGCGCTGCTGCACCTTCCGGGCCCAGTCGTCGAAGATCTCCTGAGTGTTGAGCTTCATGCGGAAGCTGTCCCCGTCCTGCTTCAGCTTCTGGCCCTCTACGTGGTTCTCCCAGCCCTTGCCCAGCACGTCCTCCACACGTTTCATGTACGCGCTCAGCTGGCGGTCGATCTGCTTCGCCCAGATGATGGAGCCTGACACTGGGGGCAGGTCACGCACGTGGCTCATCTTACACGCCTGGCTCTGTGGGTACTGGACCTTGAACTTGTCGTGCAGAGACTCAATGTCATCTTTCACGCGCTGGATTAGCTGGGTCTGGTACTCACGGATGGCCCCACGGATGTGAGGCCTGACGAACAGCGCGTTGAACCTGGAGAAAATCCTGAACATCTCGTTCGCGTTCTTGGCTGTGCCAAGCTGATCCCTAAGGCGAGCGGTGATCCGGGTCTCTACCCTGTCGATTCGCTCATCATATCTTTTCATGGCGGCCTCCCAAGCTTCCGTGCCTTCCTTGGAGACATCCAGCCCATCCACTTCCTTGACGTTCTCGTATGCAAGGTTGACCTCCTCGATAGCGTTCGCATCCGCGGCATCAAAGAGAACCTCCGCTACTTTCATGTCCTGAGGCTCGGGGACCTCTCCTTGATTCTGCTGGGCGACTGCTGTGACCTGAAAGAGGAGGATTAGTGACCAAAACGTTGATCGCACGAAGACTGTTGTTCTGTCGGACACCAGGAGCACACACCGCACAACACAGCCAGTCTGAGCTGTAGGTTTTTAACTCTTAGCCAAACATTTTATAACCACAACGCAACAAAGCTGTGAGAAATACGACAGAGTATATTCTAACTCTGCATGTAAAGATCTTCTGACAATGTAGTTTTAGTTCTTAAGCTAAAATAACATGTTAAAACCTGGGTTTTGGGTACTTGCCTCTTCAAAGTTTTGTCTACAATTAAAACTGCATTGGAAAGCTCAGTAATTCACAGGAGCGCTACATATAAACTCAGCATCCAATGTAAATAGCCTTCCTTTTTGACTTATAAAACTTTAATTCTAATCCATGGGTAAATACCACAGCAGAGGGACAGAGAAAGGCTAGAAGAATTCCCCTGTTCAGTTCCCTGAAGCTCCCAGAGAGCAGAGCAGAGCATGAGCTTTACCTCAGGAACTGTCAGACTTCCACACACATCTCCTGCCCACACTCCCGCAGAATTATAAAGCTGGGGGCGGGGAGAGGGCTTCATCTGGGTCCACAGATGTTTTGGATGAAATTCAGATGGTCTGGGAACTTGTTTGGGGGAGATCATCATCATTATTTTCACTAACTCCTAACTAAAATTTAGCATTTCCTACAACTATAAATGCACACAATAGTCACCAATAGTTGTTTGAGGTTCCACAGCTTTGTCACCAAAAAAATACTTCCTCATCACATTACATTTGTACATACCTTTTTTTTTTAAAAAGATTTGAGAGAGAAAGCGAGCATAAGTTCGGGGAGGGAGAGAGAGAGAAATAAGCAGACTCCCACTGAGTGGGGAGCCCGAGGTAGGGCTCAATCCAAGGATCTTGAGATCATGACCTGAACCAGAATCAAGAGTCAGACGCTTAGGCAACCTAGCCACCCAGGTGCCCCACATTTGAACATATCTTAAGATCTTGCTTATGCTCATTATTACTTCAAAATTATGGTATTAATATGGCCCATCACCAGATCTTGCTATTTTATGTGTTCATGGAGAAGCACATAGATTACTAGATCACAATTTAAATAAATGTTTCTTTGTAAAAATTGTTTCTTTTATGCACTTAAAAACATTGAGTACTCCTGATGCTGGTAGTATGAAGGCAAAAACTGAACAAAATTATTAAAAATAGCTTTTTCAGGACAATGGAAAACAACCAAAGGCAGCCAACAACCTCAGATGTGTTTTCTCATGACAAAGTGCTACCAAACCCTCTCTCTAAAAAAAAACAAAACAGGGTGCCCGAATGGCTCAGTTGGTTGAGTGGCTGCCTTCGGCTCAGGTCATGATCCCAGGGTCCTGGGATCTAGTCCCGTGTCAGGCTCCCTGCTCGGCGGGGAGCCTGCTTCTCCCTCTCCCTCTACCCCTCCCCGCTGCTCATTCTCTCTCCTCAAGTAAATAAAATAAAATAAAAATAAATAAAAAAGAAAAAAACCAAAACAGGGACGCCTGGGTGGCTCAGTCAGTTAAGTGTCTTGATTTCAGCTCAGGTCATGATCTCAGGGTTGTGAGATCGAGCCGTGTTGGCCTCCATGCTGGCCATGGAGCCTGCTTAAGATCCTCTCTCTCAGGTGCCTGGGTGGCTCAGTTGGTTAAGCGACTGCCTTCGGCTCAGGTCATGATCCTGGAGTCCCAGGATCGAGTCCCACATCAGGTTCCCTGCTCGGCGGGGAGCCTGCTTCTCCCTCTGACCCTCCCCCATCTCGTGCTCTCTCTCTCTGTCTCATTCTCTCTCTCAAATAAATGAAGATTTTATTTATTTATTTGACACCCCCTAGATGTTTTTTTAAAATGACTAACTTAAAACAAACAAACAAACAAACAAAAAACAACTAAACAAATCAATTGGGTTTTCTAACTACCAA